CATTGAACTCAGTTATTTCTAGATGTCGTCACTCCTTTTTGAGAAGTAAATTTCCCCCCAACTTTTGCCTCTTCTACACTGTGAATTGGGATAAAAATAGCTGAATTTATTCTTATTTTTGTCTTCATTGTTTTAATAATAATTAGGTTGAACTTGATGGACTCCTGCAAACACCATACTGCTCAGATTTTTATCTACCAAGGTTTCTTCAAGGCCATTTTCTCTCACATTCCTCATCTTTGTTGGTTTATATTATTAAGCTTCATAGATGAGTAAGATATTGCTTGACTTTTAAATTATTTTCCATTAGTTGGTTGAGTTAAAGTTATAATACATTAAGCATATTTATAGAACATATGAAAAACCAGTTTCCCACCAATTTTTGTATCTTTCATGTAGCTATAACAGTGATTGCCTTTTCTACAATGTTTTTCATTTTTAAAATACTCTTTGTAAAATGGTCTGTTAACATATAACATATAATATAATGCCAATACCACCAGCTAATATTAATTTTATTCTTGTTCTAAGTACTCTGTGCATCTGAAATTATTTAATCCTCACAAAACACTATAAGTATTGTCCACATTTACAAATGATGGCAGCAAGGAATAGTGAATTTTGCGTAACTTGCGCAGTGCTGGGCACTGAATCAGTAACAGTATTAAGCTCCTGCCTGGAAGGGCCTGTATTTAAGGAGAATCAAATCTGTGTTCTGCTTTTCTGCACATTTAGGTTGCTTCTAGTTTTCCTTTTATAAACAATGGTAGCATGACTATCATACAAATGCAATTTTTTGCACATTTAGAATGTTGTGATTAGGATAGCTTGGTAGCAGATCTTACTGGTGGTCACCTAAGGCGGTATTTGGTTACAGTGCTTTGTATGAAAACTTCATTTGCCTCAGTTACTAGTGAACTGTTGTGGTTAATGTGGAAGGAAATATATAGTATAGTGTATTCTTGAGCTGGATAGTTTATGAGAATTGGATTACCATGTTTCTTTGACTTAACATTCATAAGTTTCTATTTCTGATCATTTCCAAAAAGAGAACCACCATGCTTTTATAAGTAGTGCATACATTGAATTTGACTATTTGTTGACCTGAGGTTTGTTCCTCTTTTTCTTCTTTCTTGCTTCTGAAAAGTTGGTTTTCAGTCCCAGGTGCATGCTTTAAAATCACTTGAAAACTGTTTTGTATACTAGCTTTTTAAGATAACTGAAGAAAATTTTGATAAAACATTTTGTCTTATAGACATACAGTCTCCTGATGCTGAGTATGTTGATTTGCTTCTTAATCCTGAGCGCTACACTGGTTACAAGGGACCAGATGCTTGGAAGATATGGAATGTTATTTATGAAGAAAACTGTTTTAAGTATGTGTATTTTTCATTTACAAGTTTTTGGAAGATGTAATGATTTCTCCTTATAAACAAAATCTTAATGATTTAAAAGTACAAGTTAAATTCACTTTGTTAAAGGATATAGTTGAACATGAAGACATATTTATTTCTTAATCCAGTACATTCAGGGGAAACATGAATGCATTAGTTTCAACAATCTTTTCCTTTAAACAACATAGAATATTTAACCAATGTTCTTTGAGTAGGTTATAGAGCTTTATATTCTAGATTCAGTTAACCTAAAATAAAGAGGTTTACTTCATTTCCTCAGGTCATATGGTTAGTATAAAGCATAGATTAGAATATGTGCCTAATTCTTTTTTGTAGCTCTATATTCATTTTTTTTGTAGCTATACTTATTTTACCTGCTTTAAAGTTACAGTTAATTTATACCATGATTCCCCCAATATTTCCAAACTATAAGAAAATATAAGACAATAAATTGAGTATGTTAAAAAAAAAGCTTATATGTTCTGTTCTCAAAATATCTAAGTTTTACACATTTTTAAAACTAATGGAGATGAAAACAATCCTTATACTTTGTCAATAACACTAATGCATGTTTATTGTAAGATTTAAAAGCACTTTGGTGACATACTAGCCTTTATTTTTCTTATTATAAAAATCTTTTATTTAAATAAACAGACTTGATGACCACAGGCAAATTGATCTACGTATGATTACCTAAGCAGAAAATAATTCACCACAATGTTTGTGTGGGATATTTATATTTTTTTGCTTGTTTGACTTTCTATTAAGAGTGTACATTGTGCCATAAATACATAACACACAACAAATAAATAATATATTTAAATACGTTAGTAACTCTAGAAGAGAAATTTAACCTGAATTTTTCCCTCCCTGTGTTTGAATAACTAATTAAGAAATGACTTTCTGACTATGATAATGGGAAACAGCCAGGAACTATTATCAAGCAAATAAACACCCTCCCTGAAAGCAATTAGAGAAAACTAAATATTTTATGATCTCCATAAAACCACTGATTTTGATCATTGTCATTAGGAACCTTTCTGAGATAATTTCACTCTTAATTATAGCATGATAGGGGATATGTTTATATTTTATACTTTAATTCTTTTGTTTCTAGGCCACAGACGATTAAAAGACCTTTAAATCCTTTGGCTTCTGGTCAAGGTGAGTTATTTGTTTGCACTGTTACATCATATATCAATTGGTAACCTTTTGTTGAAGGAAGGGAAAGGTTAAGGGCTGGCAAGAGCATTTGATGTCATGTATTTCTGTTTCCACAGAAATTATGATTCACCCTTGCAGATAAGTTTTTATTTTAAATGTTTACACTTAAGATGTATTTCTGTGATGAAGTTCATGGTATTAGACTATCATAGGGTAAAGTTATGTATATACTTTTTCCTCTATGACTTTTTTACAGAATATGTATGTTGAAATTTTCTACTATTTTTACCCATCCTTTAGTTAAATGAATATAAAAAAGGACTGTTTTAAATCCTCATAAAAACAAGAAGTTATTGCATGTAATGAGAATCTGATTTCAGATTCACATTTTATTTCCTTAGCATTTTTCATTTTCTACTTACATTCTAGGTCTGGCCCAAATGCTGTCTTTTTCACCAAATTTTCCCTGGTCCTTCTAACTTGGTGTAATCTCTGTCCTAAAGTGACTTATGCCACATTTTGTTTCTCTTACAGCCCTTTGTACTGTCTAATATAATGTTATTACTATTTCTATATCTATTGTTCTATACTAATAATTTGGAATTATGGGAACTATTTTTTGGTTTCATCTCATAATAATGTGTCTGACACATAATAGAAAGAAAATTTTGTAAATAAGTGAGCAATAAAAATTGCTCTGTTCTTGTCTACAATAGTGAAAGATCACTTTTTTCTGCAACAAATGATTATCCATTTACTTCTGCTAGGCATTGTTTAGGTGCAATGAGGCTACAATTGAAATTCACAATCTCTGCACAGCCTGTAAGAGGCAGATGGTTTGTTAAATCATTTCAGTGTATGATTTCAGACTTTCCCTTAGGAAATATATATTCCTATTCTCTGACTATGTACTTACTGATGAAATCTTTGATGTGCTTTTAGCAAATGTGTTAGAATTTCATTTTTAAAATTTATTTGAAAAGCTGCTGATCTCACATAGTCAATAAACATAAATTTTCTCCTGGAAAGCAATGGGATTGCATCATTCTGTAAAAGTTGGCAGGCTTGGATTAGAAATGAAAGAACATCTTTTAAACAAGGATTTTGAATTTATACAGACTTATATATGGTAAATCTGTGAAAGCTATTGATTTATTGTCACATGAAATGCAGATTCCAAATAAGAAGTCATCTTCACTGTGAACATTGTTATCTGGTAAATTAACTAACTATCCTCATATACGTGAAAGCTAAATGGAAACAGGGCAAGTGTTTATCATTAGGGAGCTGGTTAAATTATATATGGAACTCAAATAGCAGAATACAGGCATTACAAGTGTTGGTGAAAATTTGTGTTTATTGATATCAGTAAGTGATCAACATTACACTAAAAAAAAGAAACCGTTATTCAAGTATATATTATATATTATATAACAATATATTTCTAAATACCTGTGTACAGAGAAAAAGGACACCAGAATATAAATGGTATTTATCTTTAGGCAGAGGAAGTTATAGATGATACTTTTTTTTTTAAGATTTATTTGTGTATACAGAACCAGGCTACAGGCCAGAGGTGCAGGGGCGGTGAGAGGATTCACCAGAGACAGAGTGGGGAGCAGAACAGGAGATCATCGAAGTATACTGCTGAGGGGAGCAGTGGGCGGGTCAGGAGAGGTCTGCCACACCATGTGGTCACCTCTGGGGCAGGCGGGAATCAAACTCGTGCGGAAGTGGCTTTAGCTTCTTAGTGCAGTGCTTTAACCTGCTGCCATCTGGAGGGCCAGATGATACTTTTTATTCTGTTTTCTGTTTTTATAACATATCATGTGCAATGAGCATATGCTATTTTAATAGTCAGATTACATTAAATAAAAGTAAACAAAAGAAGACAACTTTCATAGTAAGAAGCTTCATACAAACTGCTATATTATGTCTACCTTGAATCTTAAAAATAGTCTTTGATGGGCCCTCCCTGATGGCACAATGAGTTAAAGTGCAGCACTGCAAAGCTGTCCAAAGCCACTGCTGCAGGAGTTCAATTCCTAGCCAGGGAGGTGACCCACATGGCGCAGCAGACCTCTCCTGTCTTACTTGCTGCTCCCCTCAGCAGTGTATTTCAGTACATCTACTTGTTCTGTTCCCCACTCTGTCTCTGGAGAATCCTTTCACCACCCCTGCACCTCTGGCCTGTACCCCAATTCTTGTGTGCATAAATAAATAAATCTTTAAAAAAATAGTATTTGAAAATACTCCTGATTAAGGTAAAATTTTATAATGTCAGTTTGGAAGTTTCAAAACAATAATGTAAAATCTTTTACAGAATCTACATTACAGCTTTAAGATAAATAAATGTGGGAAAAAGCTCTGCCTACCAATAACCACAAATCTTTAAGATATTTAAGAATACTCTTAGGTGATAGATTAGTTTTTGTCCTGTCAGTCCATATTTAATTTTGTATAAGCTGAAACAACTCTTAATCTGAGCTCTTGAACATGACGCCATTTAGTCAAATCAGACATAATTCCAGAGTTCGTTCCAGTCACAAGCGTCTCACTCTCAGATTTTACTTACATGGATGAACTGATGGACTAAAACTAACCATTTATTAAAAAGTCTTATTTTTAGAAAATATAACATTTTAAAAGGGGCATCTTGGAAGGAGTTTATAATGATAAATATTTTGTTTTGTTTTTCAGGGAAAAGTGAAGGTAAGTAAATTTCTTTATCACCTGTTATTTAAAAGATTTGTTCAGCTAATATGCATTCGGGCGTTTATTATGGAAAACCTTTTTTTCTTCTCCCATGAGAGAGCCAAGTTAATTTTTTTTCTTTATAATCTGAAATTATGAGGGAAATGCACAGGTTAAAAGGTAAATGACTGCCTGGGCTCAAACCATACAGCCTGCCTCAGCCACTGATAGTGCACATTTTACCCACTGCACAGGGATGCTGACATATTACTCCAGCTCCCAGCATCTCTCACTGGCTGAACTGAAGGATCTGTTGGCATTTCAGAAAGGAAGAAGGTTCTCAGTATAAAATAACATAAAGATAGGATCAGAGGGCTGAACCACTGACTTCCAAGGCCAAACTGACTCATGGGCCCAGGTATCACTGCCAACTCTTAAGTTAATTGTAATGCTGAAAAGTTTTAAACATACTTTTGGTTAACTTTGTCTTTTGGGAATCTTCTCAAGATCTCACCCTCAATCTCTCTAGCAGAGAAAAACATTGTTAACCCGTGGGACTATACTTAGAAGAAACTATTGTATTTATGAGATATACATAAAGTATTCATCTTGGTCCAAAATGAAAGTTGTCTTAATTATGATATCTGACTGGATCACAGTCAGGTCAGGTTGAAAATAACTTACGTCAGGACTATAAAACTGAATTGAAAATTTCATTTCATTTTAGGCTAGGTCCAAGCATGTTACAGTTTCATTCCACCAAGTTCATGGTCCACAACTTGAAAAAAAAACTTGTTAATAAGGGGACAATTACTTGTAGTCTTGCAATCCCAAAATAATGGATAATGATAATGGCTAATACTATAATAATTATAATGCCTAATAATATAATCCTAATGATAATGGCTACTTTTCTAAGCAATATAGAGTATGACTTAATTTCATTCTTTTAACGATTGTGGAAGGTATTATTTTATTCCCATTGTATAGACCAAGAAAATGAGTTGCAGAGAGGCTTAGCAACTCAGCTACATTCGTAAGTTGTAATAAGCAGAGTTAAGATTCAAATCAGAGAGTTTGGCTCTCAGGACCTTGCTCTTAGTTATTTCCTCAGCATGTTTCTCTGTTAATGTTTTGATTATTTCTTTGTATTTATAATTTTATAGTTATATTTACAGTTTTAAATATTATTGTCTTGTATCCACTTATTTCTGTAGTGTTTGTCTTAGTAAGCTGAGGCTGCTTTAACAAAATACCGTAGTCTGGGTGGCTTGGACAGAAGACATTGTTTTCTTGCAGTTCTGGACACTGGGAAGTTCAAGGTGTCAGCAGACACCTTTTATTTTTGGTGAGGACAAAAACCCTCTTCGTGTCTTGCGGAGAGCCCACTTTCTTGCTCATGTGGAAGAGAAAGAGAGAACTCTAGTCTCTTGGTCCTCATGTGTGAATACTAATCCTATAATACTAATTATACTAATCCTATAATACTAATACATACTCGTATGACCTCACCTCAGAAAAGTTACTTCCTAAAGACCCCCATGTCCAAATACCATTACATTGGGGATTAGGACTTCAATATATAAACATTCATTCATAATGTGTATTTCTAGAAATGGTTAAAGGATATAGATATTTTAGGTTCATGATATCTATGCCTAGTTGCTTTTTGTCATTGAAGGGATATGCTAACTGATTCCCCTTGCAATCAATGTTCCAACTAGTTTTACTTTAACCCTTGTCAAAAATATTTTTATCTTTACTGCTTAAGTGGTTCTCTATTTTTAACTTATAATTTTTATTACTAGAAAGACCGAACAATTTTTATGATATTACATTGTATTTTTTCCTTTGTGAATTCTCTGTTCATATCATTTGTCTGCTTTCAGTGGGCATTTCAGTATTTTTGTTCAGTACCTGAGCTATATACATATTTATGGTATTATCCCTTTGTTGTAATTTCAATATACTTCTTACCCATTTTGCTTTTGTTTATAAAGTTTTCTGAATAACATGTTTTAAATTTTTTATGTAGACTAGTTTTATTGCTTCTTCCTTCCATTATTTTTGTTTGACTCTTCTTAATATTGTATAAACAACTATTGCCAAAAGAACTATGCAGTACAATGTTTACCACCATCTCCAGTAAATGCACACATGAATCTTTATATAGTTATAATAATTATTTCTATACTTTCATTTTAAATATACATTTTCATGAATTGTGCTGTTCCACGTTCTTGTCATTTTAATGTTATATTCTACCTGGTAACTCGTCTGAGGTATTAGCATATATTTTGATTATATTAGGATTTACAAATTGTACTTAATATAATAAAATTTCTACAAATTACCCTGTCTACCATTTTGAGTTAATTTTTTTTAGCGCTTAATTCTAAATATAGAGTTACCATGTTATATCAATAGTGACCTTATTAGATCATAGAATACCACTGAGATTTGGCTTTTATCACATTCCCTTGAGTTGCTCTTTTGAAATAGTGAATGACATGTAGTACTATCAACTGTATTCAAATAATATCTTCTAATACTATTTTCAATTAATGAGTTTGCTTCTCTCACTTAAGAAAATATATATGCATACTTAATTTTCATATAACAAACTATTATGAAAACTAAGTGCCTTTTCATGTGTTTAAATTGTGTTTTGGCTTAGTATAAAATGCTATCCGGAAAGTTGTTGAGCTGGAGCCTACCTAAAACAATGTTAATGCTTTCGAAGACTGAGTAGTAGAGTGATATTTAATTGTATCCATACAAATCTCTCTTTCCTTTGGAAGAACTGCAAATAAAATTCAGACCTTTAGTTAAACAGTCTTAAATCTATAGTTGGCAAGAATTTGCTGTTATATTTGAAAACTTTTGAAGAATATAGCATTTGGCATTTTTATAATCTGTGACTTTTTTTTTTTTCCAGAGAACACTTTTTACAATTGGCTGGAAGGTAATTTGAAACTTTTAAACAAATTTAAATGATGATTTTTCCCCTCACTTACAAGAGACATGAAATAAGTTGTTTATTTTACACATTTTATATTTGAAGTTTCTATTTCCAATTTTTAGGCCTCTGTGTAGAGAAAAGGGCATTCTATAGACTTATATCTGGCCTACATGCAAGCATTAATGTGCATTTGAGTGCACGATATCTTCTACAAGGTATGTGACATTCACTTTTACTCACCTTACTACTCTATTTTCAGTTATCCTTAAGACATTTCTTGGTATTTTACTGAATAGGAAAAGACTGAGACATTTAAATATTAGGTAATAAAAATTCATTCTTTTTTAAAATCTTTATTATTTTTGTTTTTTATTTTAGTTACTGGCTTATCAAGAATGTAGGAGATATAGATACTGTAAGGAATAGTGCATATGTCCCAAGCTCTTCACCTTCTTTTAAGAAGCTGCTTAAAATTATACATATCACTTTGGAAATGTTTTCTCTTGCTTGTTTTGTTGTGGGAATTAAAATAGTTCCTAAAAATAGAGTATGTTATGCACTAGCTATGACTGTATCCGAACCTGTGTATTCATATGCCAGCTTCAGGCCTGGAACTTAATGAGTAAAAGCAATTACTGTTGCTTTTTATACTTAAAAGATGTGACCATGGCTGATTTTCATCAGTAACATATTTTTACTGAATTAAGTTATTTCTTAGCTCTTAGAAACAAAATATGGTGACTTCAATTTTAAAAAGAACTTTAACATCATTAGCAATTTCAGTCATTTTTTTAACTGTGTAAGTTGTTTTATGAATAGGATTATATATAGCAAGTTGATTTTTACTAGACCTGGTCTCAGTAAAACATTGACTTTATTTACCTTTTGAGCATGGGTTCTAGAAAGAAAATTTTAAGAGATAATACTCAGTGAAATAAGTAGAATATAGAGGAACCAAACTAAGAACCACAGAAAGACAACCATAGAAGCTAGCCCTTGAAAACTGATGAAAGAACTGAAGTATTCAAAGCAGGGAGGGGTTGTGGGGAGGAAGCAAGAGGGAATGGTGATTTGGTGGTGGCTGCACTATAGTGGTAATGCCTGAGGGGGAGAATCCTATGTTACCACAATTAAAAAATTAGTTAATAAAAAATATTAAGATAGAATTATTACAGGCTAAATTATGAGAAACCATTTTCATGGTTATACTTATATATTTTAAAATATAAAGTGAGGTTATCTTCTGTAGGCATTAAATAACCAAATATAAGAAAAATGAAGCTTTCTTAATTTTAAAATTCAGCTTTTAACATTTATTTAATTCCTTCTCAGAAACATGGTTGGAAAAAAAATGGGGACACAATATTACAGAATTTCAGCAGCGGTTTGATGGAATCTTGACTGAAGGAGAAGGACCAAGAAGGCTTAAGAACTTGTACTTCCTCTACCTAATAGAACTGAAGGCTCTTTCAAAAGTGCTACCATTCTTTGAGCGCCCAGACTTTCAACTCTATACCGGAAATAAAGCTCAGGATACAGAAAACAAAATGTTACTTCTAGAAATACTTCATGAAATCAAGTAAATTATAAAATTATACATTAACAGAAGAGTGACAATTGGTGATCTAAAATTAAATTTGTAAATATTCAGTTTAGAAAAGTAAAACTTCAAAAATTAAATGTTAAAACCAAGTTTTGCTCATAGGTCATTTAGAATTAAATTTTGTTTTGTTTTTATTTTTCACCTGGGTACCAAAAGGCATATATATTTATTTTAAGAGCCATTCTTTTACTATTTGAAACTTGCATTATTTTCATGTAAAATTGAACAGTTTGGGTTTGGTAACAAATCCAACCATATAATACATATAGCTCTTAGATTTGAGGATAAGAATTTGTTTTGGGGTATCAGGGTATTTATTTTACTGTACTTCCTACTCTTTATTATCTATCACTGACCAGTTGTATTGTAGGACTTTTAACATTTTATAATAAATGAATATGAATATCCTTTTTTTAAAAATGCAGGTCATTTCCTTTGCATTTTGATGAGAATTCCTTTTTTGCTGGGGATAAAAAAGAAGCAAGCAAACTAAAGGTAATTATTGTACACAGTAACTTAGTTTGTAGATATAAACTCTTATGAAGGTATAAATATAAGCCCATGTTTTCCTACATAATAAATTTGGATTCTGTATTTTGAAATTTTAAGAAAACTCAGAATTGTAATTTTTTTTCCTCCAACATATGAAATTCAAGGGCAGGCCCAACTTAAGATCTAGTTTGTATATGTTCAAAGTAACTGAAATCTGTTTCACTGTATACTTCACAGATGATTTTCTTTCTTTCTTTGGCCTAGAGGAAATGGGGTGCAGGCTAGAGGGTGGGGTGTTGGGGAGGTGGAAGGTAGGGTGAGAGCATTCACCAGATTCACAGAGTGGGGAGCAGAACAGGCAGTTTTACTAAAGTACACTGGTAAGAGGAGCAGTGGGCAAGACAGGAAAGGCCTGCTGTGCCATATGTGTTAGCTCACTGGTGGGGATTGAACTCAGGCCACAGTGGTGATAGCACTGAGTCTTAACCCCTAGGTCACCAGGGGAGCCCACAAATAATTTTCACATTAATGATCATACGTTAGAAACAGGTTACATATTAAATGAAAGGCCTCTGGAGCATTTGCTGAAGAGAATTTTGAAAATGATTCTGTTTAAATAAATGGACTGTCTTTAGGGGAGAGAGTACAGTGTTGTTTTGTCATTTATTTCATTTCCTGGGAATTAAAGGCATTTGGGAATGCCAGCATGCAACCATAAGTGAGCAAGAGACCAAAAACCCATCATAGGTTCAGTCGTTGTCTTGACACGTTAATAGAAATCTGACCTCAGGCAGGACCATCTTTCTGGCTATTTGCTTCATAATCCTACAAATACAAAATATTACTAGCAAGGTTTATTAAACATTATGAGCAGAGCATGATTTTTGTCATTAGTGGAAGGAAGGCTTCTGCTCTCAATGGATTTGATCTGATTTCTTAAGACTATTATAACAAAACTTACTTCTGTGGCAGAGTAAGCATCTAAAAAAAAAACGTTATAAAATACACTCTTTCTGTTTCTTATTTATTCTGTGAAAGAAAGGACCTGATTTTATGTAGCCTGCAAATAATGTACTTTCTTGAATTCTGTTTTTTTTTCTTTTTCTGCTGTTAGATAATGGTTATTTTTGACCTTCCATCTACCTCCTACTTTACTTAATGCATTCTTGCTAGAAATACATAATCTCTGTGCTTACATAACCTTCCAAACTGCTTCCAGGAACATAGAGGTGAGGGGAAGATGCTGTAATAAAACTTTTTTCCCTACTTCTTTCTCTGTTCTTATTTTTAGTACACTTGTTGGCTTATTTGAGAATGTTCTGGTATCCGTTCTTTAATGTGCAGATTAGAAATATTTCTCACAATAATTTTATTTATATAGGAACACTTTAAAGTGAAAGGTATCTTTCATTGATCATAATGTGTTCAATCATTTGGAAATTTATTATATGTATATATGTTATCTATATGCAATGTTTATTTACAGATGGACTTTATAGACCTTTATAACAACTGTTAAATCTTCCAGAATCCAGTGCCTTACAGGATGGGAAAATCTACTTTAGAGAAACTTTGTTTCTCTGTTATTTTAGTAAAACTTGTGATTTTTCTTTATTCAAGGTCAAAATACAAATGTGTACAAGTCACCCAAATCTGGTGTTATCACTGGGTTAATTTTTTTTTATTAAAAAGTTTATTTTTACATCATTTTGCACATTTTTTTTTCCATCTCAGTTGTAATCCCTGCGGGTTTCCCATCACCAAATCACCCCTGTTGGGTTAATTTTTTTAACATAGGTTTAAAATTAGCATTACTTACTCAACTCGATCTAAAGCATACAGAAACATAAGCTATTGCTAACATATAGCAACAACTGGTTTTAGTAATTTTGTCTTCCTACTAAATGAATAAAGATACAAAATCTGCAGTCCTATTTTATATGGTATACTATTCTATTTACTATTTTAAATGGTATAGACATTTTAGTGTCTCAATCTGAATGAAACATTGGAAGAAAAAAGTACCCAGAGCAAACTGAGGTCCACTTTGGGTAGTGGATTCCCATCTTTGACCTCATTCTCTTCTGGTTGAGCTTAGTGTGTAGTTTATCACAATAAAAAAGATAATAATAAAAGACAAGCACTATATGCTCCCCAGATGATAGGACAATTTGTTAATAACTATTACATCTGTTAATAACTATTACATGTAAAATTTCCTGCTTAAAGTACAATAAGCATGAAATTCCATTATAATTCCAGAGGGACTCACTTAGTATCCCTATTTTTTCCTTTTTTCCTTGACATACAGTACTTTTATAAACAATATAATAGAGTACTGTTCACAGGTATTTGTATATTTTTTAAAGTATGCAGATAGTTAGCAGGTGGAATATCTAGGATGCTGAAAGGATCCACAGAGAGTTTCATTTGTACTTTCTAAAATTTGATGAAGCGTACTTGGATGTTCACTATATTCTGTATTTAATAATATTGGAAATAATAAAAAATCTGAATCCCAGCAATAAAAATTCAATTAACTAAATGTTTCCATTTTGCCCTTTCCCCCACCTGAACTCCCCCCTCTCTTTCTTATTTCTGTATTTTGGTAAGTGATTTCAATCAACTTTTGTTTTTCCTCCCCTGATAATGCCATATACTAATCACAGAGAATACCTCAACAGATATCGTTATTTGTGGGTAGTTTGGCTTTGGAGTTAAGTAAATCTGGGGTCTAAGTTTGCTGTTTACTGGGTATGGAAATTTAGGGTGATTACCTAACCTCTTTGAACCTTGTTTTTAAAGTTCATTAGATGTAGTTATATCTACTTTTGGATTTGTGGTGAAGACAAAGTGAAATTGTATATGTAGATTGTGGTATACAGGAGGTGCTAAGTGGATATTGATTTTAATTTTCTTCCCTTTTTTTGATACCCTATATAGCACCTTGCAAGTGTAAGGCACATAGGAGATATTCCAGAAATACTTAGTATTTGACTGTATATTATTTCTTAATTTTTTAGGAGGATTTTAGGTTGCATTTTAGAAATATTTCAAGAATCATGGATTGTGTTGGTTGTTTTAAATGTCGACTATGGGGAAAACTTCAGGTAAGCAAATCTAGCTCAATCTTATTTTTTATTTATTCTTTGTGCAAAGAATTACCTGATTTTTCTTTTTTTCTTATTTCTGCTACAGACCCAGGGTTTGGGCACGGCTCTGAAGATCTTGTTTTCTGAGAAATTGATAGCAAATATGCCAGAAAGTGGGCCTAGTTATGAATTCCATCTCAACAGACAAGAAATAGTATCATTATTCAATGCATTTGGCAGGTTAGTTTAAAAATTGCTTTTGCTAACCAAGTAAGTCTAATGTAAAATATGTACTCTCAGATAAAAGTGGTAAAGGATAGCTTAAAAAGTGAAATTGTCTTGCCATAAAGGTTTATTTATGATCTTATCAAGTACTTACGTAGACTCAGACCGACATTAGAAGCTAGTCTTTATTTTCATTTACTTTTATAATCATGACTAACTTTGGACTTTAGTTATTTTACTAAATTTATATATTTTTTCTAATTAAAGATAGTTTTTTGTGCTGCCCAAATACTTTTTGAATGTTTTGGAAAAGTCATGTTAATATAGGTGTATATGTAAAATTTCTTTGTGAAATCATCATATAAAGGGTTAATAATTCTTTAGAAAATAATTTTCACCAAAAAGATTAGAGGATAAGCTTAAAATGAGGAACTTAGATTATAAAAATGAAGTATGGATGCATTTTTTAATGGTCTGTAATTATGTAAATAATGCATTTTCATGACCTGTAATATGTAAGTAATGCAGATTTATGCATTTGTAATATATTCTATGGACTACATTTCTTTTCTCTTTGGTGGAGTAGAAGGGGGACTTTAACAACAGAAATTTATTTCTTTACTAATTTCAAAGGTGGAAACTCCAAGATCAAGGTGCCGACCAATCCAGTTATTCTAAGATCCCCTCCTAATAACCTAATTTAACCTTTATTTCTTCCTAAAGGACCCTATTTACAAATACAACTACATTGAGTGTTAGGATTTCAACATAGGAATTTTGTAGGGAACATAATTCAATTTATAGCACTATCTAAATTTTTTAATTGAAGTAACATTGTATTATATCATAAATTCCAGATATGCGTCATAATACATTTCTTTACTTTTTAAATTTATGACTTAATGTTTTGGGTTTGAAGTGACTACTTTCAAAATTATTTTTCTAACACACTGACTCGAAATGGCTATACTGCAGCAATGATTTTTCATGGTGGAAAGAACTAATGGACAATCTTTTTCTTTAGTGAAAATTAATACATTTTTATTATGTTCACTCTTTATAGAGTCCAGAGGCTTTCATTGATATAGCATGTTAATTTTTATCATGTCTTATACGTATGTGTATCTAATGTTTGTGTCTTAATATTTATGTACTTTATACTTTAAGTGGGTATTTTAAATACTAAGCATATGGATATATTTATGAATACTTAAAATACTCTAGTATTATAACACTTAGGTAATTTCATACTAAATGCTTACTTTAGTGCTTTGATACTAAATACTCATATGAATGCATAAGTATTTTTTGTTTATGTACTTTATCCTTATGTATATTATAAAATTTTAACACGAAGTTATATATACTTAAAAATTTTGGCAGTATTATTTTAGTTTTGTCATGTCAAATTAAGAACTAAAGTATATCAAAGTAAATAAAATAATTAAAATAATTACGTACTTTTAAATTTGTGGAAATAACAGCTTTCTGTTTTCTAAAAATGCAAAGTAAATAACTTAAAGAGAAAATTTATGTAAGATAGCTTTTGAGTGAATATTTTCTTTGGTTACAGAATTTCTACAAGTGTGAAAGAATTAGAAAACTTCAGGAACTTGTTACAAAATATTCATTAAAGAAAACAAGTTGAAATATGCCTGTTTTTGGACAAAGGAGGCCAAAGAGTGGAATTTCATTCAAAGGCATAAAGCAATGACAGTCTTAAGCCAAACATTTTATATAAAGCTGCTTTTGTAAAAGGAGAATTATATTGTTTTAAGTAAACAATTTTTAATTGTGTGAAATCTATGTATAATATTGTGAGTAAAAGTAATATTTGATAATGTGATATAAATTGAAAAGTAGTATTTGACAATATGGTCCAAATTGAATAAAATCAGGATTATTAAATTTATAAATCCTAAAACTAAGTAAATGATGTATTAATTGTCTCCAACTAGAATTTTGTGTAAGATGTTATATAAGTAAAATTATGGCCATTGTCACAACCATTTAATAGAAAAATGCTAAGGAGCTTATGGATGGCCCATAATAAATAACCTAAAATTTTTCAGTATATTTAAGGTTACCACACTTAATGAATAGAAATATCAAATGCCTGTAAAATTTGAATTTAAGATAATAACATGATTTTTTAGTATAAGTATGTTGCATGCAATATTTGGGACATACTTACATTAAAATTTTTTTTCCTTATTTAAAATAATGTAGACTAAATGGGAGTCCTTGTTTCATCTGGTAACCCTAAATACATTGGTATGAAACCGATCATTTGTAGAATTATATTGATATTTTGACTGGGTTGTTTTGGTGTATAGAGAGATGCAATAACAACTCAAAAGCAGATTGGTTTTCTGAACATTGCAAAGCTGAATAGATTTATATATTTATTCTCATATTTTCCCTAATATTGAATGAAAATTTTGGCAAAATGTTTTATTTTTATATAATTTCAAACTTACAGAAATTACAGGATAACTCTTTTACTTGGATTTAACAATTGTTTGTATTTTCTTTTACTTTCATTTTTTTGTCTTTTTCCCTCAATCTTCTGAAAATCAGTTACATCATGCCCTTTGAAACCTAAGTACTTTGTTTAAAATAATACATTTTTTAATGATTTTTTTTAGAAGAAAAAATCTAGAACTACCATACTAGATTTTATTACCCATTTTATTCTTGGTCCTGTCCAGTCAGGGCATGTAATTTTTGTTTTTGTGTGTGAAATTCATTTTCTTTTTTAGTTTGGGAGGTTTTCAGTGGAAACTCTTCAATGATATTAAAATTTGGAGGGGGTTAGAAACTTATATTACATGGTAATTTTAGGAGAAAAAGAAACTGTATACCTCAAAAATCATGTGCCCTTATGTCTTAGCAGGTATACCATGTTGAAATACCACATTATTGATACAGTTGGATTTATTTATAATAATATTTTGGAAATATCACTTTACAAGGTTGTAAACTTTTTTTCTCTAAGTTCCTAAGGCTTGGTACCATGCCAGATGCATAGTGGGTATAAAGTAAATATTTTGAATGAATGTACAATCATGTATTCATTATTTTTTAAATGAATAATCACAGAACCAAGTTTAACAATATTTGTTGTAGTTTCTTTTCCCTCCTCATTTTCTCTGAGTAGGAGAGAAGAGATTAACCTACTAATTAAGTCAATATTCTTGGAGACTCAAGGACTATTAAATGAGCACAATATATAAAAGCTTAAGGACATTTATAGCACTATGAAAAATGTGGTAGATGGATTTAAATGGGACTTTTGTCAGTAAAGCCCTCTAATTCTCAGCCCTCTGCTCCCTTTTCTTTTTAACAGCCTATCTTTTTGAAAGAACATTCCAGTCTTCACTTTGTCACCTCCCACTTGCTCCTTTACTAAAATTTGGCTTTTGGCTCTTTCTCAACAACTTATTCTTTTGAAGTAAAAAAAAAAACCCAATTCTAAATCCACAGTTCAGTTCATAAGTTATTTTTTTGTTTGCCATTTTCCACCTGCATTTGGCACTGATCACAAGCCTGGTACAAAATCCTTTTCCGTCCTGGCTTCCTTCTATTTTATGTTTCTGGACACCTCCTTTTTTTTTTTTTTTTTTTTTTTTTTCAGCTTCCTTAAATGTTAGTCCTGAGACTTCCCTTGCTCTTTTAATTACCACTACTTCTCACTCTTAGGTAATTCCAATTTAATTATTTCTAAATCATCATCTTTAGTCCAGACTTCTGAATCCATTCCCCACCTGCATATCTTCCTTTTATTATCTACAGACAACTGTGTGTCTTAAAACAATCACTCTCCTCAAAGTCTACTTTTATGCTTTTGTTCCTTACTTTGGTTAATTTCAGAAACATCTGATTGAATGCTTCCTAGAATCATTCCTGTCCTCCATCTTCCTCCTATCTAGTCAGTGTCTAAGTGCTATGGGTTTTCTCTGATGTATAATTGCCTTTCTGTTGTTATTGCTGTTCCCTGAAGTACTACACTTAGCTGTTTCTTCACAGGTAGCTCTGTCTCCTCAATGCTATCCAAGTTGTCTTTCTAAAAGCTCTCTAACAATGTTACTCCCTGTTAAACACCCTCAGTGACTTATGAAACTTAAAGAGAAAGTCAGATACTTTTGTTGTACAAGGTTCTTTAATGTGTTTTTAATACCCCACCTCCATCCCCATGTTCTAAAATGAAACAGAATTACAGTCCTTTTGATATACCAGTCAGGTGCGTGCTGTTCTCTTTGCATAAAATGTCCTGGCCACCCTTCACCACCTAGAAGTGTCTATATTCTTGCAGGCCCAGCTTAAAGTATCACCTCTGTAAAATCTCGCTTGCTCCATTCAAGAAGGGTCATCTAACTCCTTTTGTATCACCACTGTAGTTACAACCTACCTCTGTTGTGTCACTTATTGTACTGTATTATTTTTGCTTTTTTAAAGCCTCCTTTACTAGAATGTGAGCTCCTTAAGGGCAGGAAAAGTAACTATCCATTTTTGCATCTCCATAACACAGTTTTTGGCATATGAACCCACAATAAATGCTTGTTGGAAAAACTGCTTTTAAAGTGACAACTTCATTTTACTAGAGGTTATAATTTCATCAGTTCTTTCATAGCAAAGTTAGCAGACACCCAAGGACTTGTGGACTTTCGTTGGGGGTGAGGGACTCCTACAATTGCATTCAATTGTATTTTGGTGAGTTATGATAGGTGTCTGCTATGGAACAATGTAAGAACTCTTCTTTAAGGGTCAAAGCAGCATCACTGAGTAATTTCTTGTGATAAATTTATTCCTATTTAAGATCCTAAGGAGAAAGAGGGTGTAAGTTATTTTATACACAGTCCTTCTTAGCTAGTATTCTTAGCTAACAATATTTTAGTGTTTAAAGAGATTAGCATTTCATGTGAAATGAGTGTGTAATACTAAGGGACATGATATTCAGATATAATTATAAACCCACTAATAAGCTTTCATTTTTAACTCCTAATATTTTTTTTTCTGAGGGAGACACTATCCTTGTGACAGAAACACAATTATTATAGGCAATTAAGGAATAGTAAGGAAACCAGACCGCCAAATAAAATCACAAACACTTTTATTTTTAACAGTAGTGTTTTGTTACAGTTTAGTGAAACAACAAATAAATACATTCATTGGCCACAGCTATACTTTATAACCAGTTTGAAACTGATTATATAGCTGAGAAACACTGTTAAACAATAAAAAAGGCAGCTATGCATAAAAAAGCCACTTTAGCTATAAATTACATCTTTCAGAAAACTACAACCAGCTATAATGGGTGGTAAGAGTTTCAAAATTAATGGCCACCCAAATGAAACGATAAAAACAAGTACTGCTGATCACTGTAAAATTACACATTTAAGCAATGAAATTCACTGTTCTAATTAATGAACCAAAAAGCAAGGTTTGAAATTGTCATCATGTGCTTCAGTGCAGGATGAACAGGGAATCGGTAGCCCTTTGATTTTACAAGCAAATACTTCTTTCGAGACCAAACTTAAAGTGCTCTGAGTGCTTCAAAATTCTTAAGCAAAAGTTGGGCCAGAAGCTTAATCGTTGTCTTTGGTGATGTACTGTGGGAAATATGTCTAAATATGTGGGAAAAAATGCAAGAACTCAGGTACCATAGTCAGTGATTACAGTAAAGTTATAAACATCAAATTTGGAAGAATCAACTAATACAGCTGAAAGAAGCAAGTTATTTTCTCTGAAAAATATTTTTTGAAAGTAATCTTTGCTTATCTGTTCAAATAGGAACAATTATCACTTTGAAAATAACTTTGAACCCCAAGGATTAGCCAAGACAACACAGATTTCTTCAGGTATCTCTAAATGACTAAATATTTAACATTAGGAAAATTAATAATTGGCATTCTGAAACAGTCTAATAAGTTGTATCAAAAAATACTCAGTGTTCATTATGTTGTCTTATTACCAAGGTTAACTTCGCACTATAAATTTTCAGATAATTGGTTACAATGAAAATTTATCTTAAACCCAAAATAGCAGTGATGAGTTTGCATTTCTGATTGAATTCAAAGTCATTTTGTATGATAAAATGAAGACATTTCCTCTATGTGCCAGCCTCCCAAAAGATCAAAAGTATATAAAATTTATTCCTTGGGGTTTCCTGTACTTGTTTATATGTTGTGAAGTTATTGCATCATTATTTTAACAAGAGAAATATTTTGAGAGGGAAGTAAAACAACTTTCTAATCAAAGCAGAACACAGAGAAAGACAGTTGTATTAGTTCCAGTTCTGAAGCAACAGATCAGACAACTGTATAGTCAGTCATTTGTAAGCATGTGGTAACAACTTTCAATGTTGCTGTTCTCTTGGCATTTTGAGGTATTCAGCATCTACTTCACTCCACATAGATACTGGTTAAAAGTGCATTTTAAATTTATTATGTTAGGCTGGCATATTTATTATTTTGGATTTGGGAAAAGACATTCAAGACAGATTTAATGTAATTCTAAAAGTATTCCAATATTGTTAACCACTGGGCTTATACTTACCTAGTTAGTACCTTTTCTTAAGTTTTCTCATTTAATGCTGGAATTAATAAAATTTGACTTTGCCCAAACACAAGATAAAAAATATGTGAAAATTTAAGGGAGGAATTATGTCTTACAAAGTATTGCACTTGAGTTCACTGAAATAATGAATGATTTAAACATTTACCTGAGGACAATCCTGATTCAGTAGGTAAGATCAGTTATACCTGTTTCAGCTAAATTGAATTCTTTTGAAAATGTATTTATGTTTTAATTTAGGATTGTACATTTTATGAATAATTCATAAATGCATCTGTAAAACTGTTTAGTCCCAAGCAAGAAGTTTCTACCAAAATCTCCCTATGCAAAAATCACTATTGCTTTCTTAAAGAATCATGCTTAAACTACTACATATGTCTGACTTTTACAAAGTAATCACAACTGATTCTACTCCAAGTAGCCACATAATTTTTAGTAGTATACTTTCCTATTGAAAAAATGACTGTGGCTTTCCAAAGAACACTGCTGGTCATCACTGTAAAGCTACTATTGACATTTGTGTAAAATGATTAATTGAATATTTTCATTTGGTATTTTACAGTCATGCTTAAAAGAACTCTTCCATGATTATGTATGTTTAATTAAAGTTTTAAAAAGAACGATGCATTTTTATATCTTAACTCTGTGCACTGTTCACACTCAGAATTTGTATTGGGCAAGAATTCCACATAGAGTACACCACTGAATATATAGGCTTTAATTTTCACAGGAAAATTTGCCTCCTAATTTAGTGTACAATATAATATCCCAGTGTAACACTGGAGTATGACTTTGGAGACTGCAGTGTACTCTTTCAAAACAAAGATAAAAAGTGCAATTAGGCAAATATACATTGCTGTTCCAAAAACTGGGATGTTTGGAGGCCCTTTGGAGCCTTAAGTTCTAAGCCCACCTCCCTCCCACTCCAAACTTTTCATTTCACTATGAAGAGGTCACAGGTAATAGCTGGGTCCTCTGCTGAACACAGCCACATTTCCAGGCTTTGTTTTCAGTTGCAACAGATGAAGGAATGTTTATGCGGATGGAATTTAAACATGTCGAATATACACATTCATGAAAAACAATAAAAGAATCATAACTTGGTAACGCTCTCAGTTTTGTGGTGTTACATATAAGCTATGGTGATTGTTCATATCTAAATTACTACAAGTGAAGAGCAAAGGAGCAGTATCTGTCAGAGGTCCATTCAAGTGGGGAGAGACCGTGTAACTGCTGCTGCCACAACCAGTGATAGTGCCATACCAGCCCAAACCTTGTGAGTTAGATAAACTGCAACAAAAAAGGGCAAAAAGCCACAGGATTATAATCAGGATAGAAGTCACATGGGTATTTTCATCTTTTCTAACACAGTATCAAATGACTTTCCCCCAAATTAATGACTTATGTAATATACTTGATTCTATATCATATTATTACAAAAGGAAGGAAAAATACCATTTGAACTAGAATTTGATTATCAGATAATAATATATGGTTTATTATATACTGGACTATTCTATGACACAATGACTGTGTATATGTATGTATCTCTTACACTCTTATTAAATCTTTACAACAATCCCATGGATCAGTTCTGTTATTCCTATCTCAGTATGATAAAGCCTCAAACAACTGATACTGTATAACCTCAACTCTGTAATTTAGAATCACAGAAAATGCTGCATCAAGCTCAAAGTATGATGTAGGTATGTATTAAGACTTTACAATAATTTTGGAATAAGGAAGGCACAGAAAGATTTCCTATGGCACTTAAGTGTCCCAAAAGCTTCCCCTAGGCACTCTCATGTAGATTTTGAACAGCGCTAGTGATAAGGAAACGTACATAACTATAACAATATTATTTACGTGCTCATTACCCCCACAACTTTTGAATCAACTAAGGAATCCTGAAATGAAAAGGTACCATTTTGCCCCAAAGGCATTTCTAAAATAAATGTAATATATGGTTTTACAGTCAGATGATAGTTCTTTACCATTCAGGTCCTATGTACTGCTCTAAGTTCCGAAATTACATGATCTTTTTTGTTGTCATAGATCACCAAATCACCTTTTTCATAGCAGAGTTAAAGCTTAGCTTTGTTCATTTTAATATATTTTTTTTTATTTTTTAAAAGATTTTTATTTGTGCATACAGAACTGGGGTGCAGGCCAGAGGCTCAGGGACGGTGAGAGGCTTCACCAGAGACAGTGGGGAACAGAAACAGGCAGATCGATGAGGTACACTGCTGAGGGGAGCAGCGGGCGGGTCAGGAGAGGTCTGCCACACCATGTGGTCATGTGGTCACCTCTGGGGCAGGCGGGAATCGAACTCATGCGGAAGCGGCCTTAGATTCTCAGTGCAGTGCTTTAACCCGCTGCGCCACCAGGGAGGGCCATTTTAATATATTTCAATACTAATTCAGTACATTTACCTTCCTTCTCTTGAACTTCCTAGTCTTGGCAAATCATCATCACTATCATATCGCCTTGGATTGTCGAAAAAGTAAGCTCTGGAACTGTAACTGTGACTATTTATCATGCCAGCAGGTGCCTGTGAGCAAAGGAGTAGCACATGGAGATTCACTTTTCAATTAAGCAAGATGGGTCTACAATGATTTCTAGTCTTAAACTTTGCCAAAAGTAGAAAATCAATGTAAATGTTCCACTCGAAAGAAAGAAAGAAAGAAAGAAAGAAAGAAAGAAAGAAAGAAAGAAAGAAAGAAAGAAAGAAAGAAAGAAAGAAAGAAAGAAAGAAAGAA